TTGAGACTGAACCTAAATAGCCTAAATCTGTGCTAATTGGTTTTTATGTAAAAACCTGACTTGTTTAGGCTAACTTGGAAAAATACAGATTCTTAGTTGCAGGTTTTTACTAGTAACTAAATTTGATGGGAAAAGGATTATCAAAAATTAACATAGCGAGATGAGCTTATTTACAACTCCATCTTTCAGACCTGCAATTTATTTAAGGCTGTCTTATAAAGGAACAACAAGAACAGCATGTGCTTTTTGTCAGCTTTAATGAATTCCAGACTATTTAAATGATCTGTTTAGAAAATCCTCTTAACAGATGGAATAGTAAAATGTGAATTAATAAATCATTTCATCAAACTGTCTTCTGCTTTCCTCTTGCCAAACCATCTTTCCCTACAGAGGAGCAAAGGTTGTAGCAAATATCAGAAAAATAAAAAAAAGACAAGAGGCTACACCTGAAACCCCTCTTTACTGTTACTTTAACACCAAGGGAGAAGGTTGTAGTACTTCTATACAGGTATGTGCCATGGAATAGGAGGTGGGTTTTGAGATGATCAGTCTTTATGGTACACTACTTGGCTTGGCTTTCTGATCCTTTGGTAGGGTTCCTTTGTAAAATTATACTAGCTCATCGTCAGTACATAAACTTCAGGGATTTCAAAATGTTTTAAAGTATCTGGAGGCTGGGGGGGGGGGGGGGGGACTACAGAATTGCTGGCAACATACAATCAAGTAGCTGATGGAACTCCAGTGGTCACCAGCTTGTTTTGAAACCACTGAAACCTCTGTTTAAAACTGAAGATACATTGATGGGATCAAGATATGAACTTGAGCCTAGAGCTACTGAACAATAAAAAATACTCTTTTTATGCAAATCAAGCTGTTTGAAGATTGAAATAGGAGTGTAAACACTTTTTGACACAAAAACGATGTTTATAATTATCTACATTTACCCAATATTTCCTAGACCTTCACTTGTTGGGGGATTGTGTGTTAAAACAACTCGGAACATTGCATTGAAAGCCTGTTGTCAAGGATACAACTAAGAAGAGATGGTATTTACAACATACCTAGACTGTATTTTTCAGTAGATACTGGAAAAGAATCAAGAATGCATTGTGAATCCAAGCATTAAGATTTTGAGCCAAATACAGGGTCAAAAGACATTAGTCAATAAAAAGGAATGTGGATATTTTTTGGGAAAAAGGAAATCAATACAGCTTGAATGTCTCAGGGCTGGTTTGCATGTTTCTAAAATCCATACATGTAATTTATTGATAATATTTTGATGTTTCTTTTTTTAGAACAATAATATCATTGATCAATCAAATAAAGTAGGTGAATAAAAGTTCAGTATTTCCTTTAACACTAGAAGAAAAACTGTTGTATACATACTAATAATTTATACACAGCTGTATATCGTTATTATTGTGGTTCAATTTTATCCCTGGATAATTTTACTTTCCTTTGTGTCATACTCATTATCATACATTTTCATAACCCAGAAAACAGGAAAAATTTAAATTGAAGTATAAAGAAAAAAATAAATATACCGTCCATGTATGGCCAAAAGAAAAAAAAAATGATCACTGGTTCACTCAAAGCTGCACTGGGTGACTGTTTCTCCTAAAAAGGTTTGAACTCTCTGTTGGATACTCCCTTTTGCCCCACCAGCTACAGGTACATACCCCTCCCCCCTCCCCCCTCAGGCATGCCATTCAACATAGATACTGTACTAAAAGAAGACCACTGTCAACCTTATTAAAAAGTTACCGAGTAAAAACATTGTTACTAGGAAAAAGAAAAACCATTCTACTGAAGTGAATTATTGCAGTATCCTTCAAATTTTGGTTCCATTGCTTACATGTATTGTTTCTAGTAACAAAAAGTGCAAGTCTTAAGATGAAAGTTTCACGTTACAGAACAAAAACTATCCTTTCTTTTTCCAGGGAGGCCGTTTTCTCCCAACAACTCCCTACCAGGTAGAAATTTCATTCAAGTTTCATATTACATACTTTTTGTTTGTTTTGGCCATGAAGACCCTCTCTCCTTACAACTTTTAAGGATCCTAGAATCAAACAATGCAAATATCCCTTATGCACAACTGTCTTACAATATAGATTTTTATGCTCAGCAAGGGAAAATTGGCAAAAAAATATACTTCCAGTCCTTCACACATAATTGAACTGTCTATCCCCTACTACACAGAGAGAAATAACTGGCAATGTAATTTTGCTTATCTGTGCAAATTAAGTTTGCTGTCATTAAGTTTCACAATCCCCCATAAGCAACCATGCAGTCTGTCTGGAGGTGTGCTGTTACCACCCCTGAAATCCCCTTAGCAAAAACCTTGCATGCCTCCCTCTAAAACAATAAATTATGATCACAGCAGTTGCAGGCATGTGGTATCTTTCTGGTATACTATCGTACTCAAAAGAGACTACTAGTAATAATAATTGATCAGCAAGATTATTGTTTTGGTTATGATATTGTCCTTCTTGGCTGTAGCCCCTCTTAATATCTCCACCTCTCTTGGGGCACCACCTCCCAAAGCAAACGGCCTATTCTCTGTCACATTTTTTCTATTTTATGTGTTTCTTACCCAATAAAATACAGTTTTAGAGATCCAGTAGAAAGTGCTGTGAGAAAAAGGGTAGTTCTTTAGGATGTTTTACTGCCCTTTCCTAATAGTACCACCTGTTCTTTGAGAATTCCTCTTTCATCAACCATTTAAAAAATTTGATATCTAATTCTCTTAACAAAAGCTCACGCTCTAACATTGAATAACTCTAATATTTCTTTACTCTACGTTCCTTGTAATTCTCTCACGTGCACTAAAAGAAAAATCCTGGATCAGCAAACCTACTAACCTTAACTATGCGACACCATGCCAGAGGGTGTTCGAACAGTAGAAGACCGAGCCCCTGCAAAAACTTTACGTCGAGTGGCAAAGCCTTCCAGCTGTTAACACTTTAAACTGTGACCACAAGCTTTTTCCCCACGGTATTTAGCTCAGGATAGGCAATTTTGATTGACGACTTCGATGAATCGGAAGCCGCAAAAGCCAAACTCTTGAGTGACGCACGATTACAAACAGCAAAAGACTCGCCATGACATTCCTCAAAACCGTGCAGTTGAGTGGAAGTTTCTGCAACTTTACGGGGCGTGATAACAACCTTCCAGCGGTGAACACTTTAAACTGTGGCCATCGGCGTTTTTTCCATTCTATTCCGCTCAGGAAATTATATTTTGATTGATGAATTCTCTAAATCAGAGGCCGCAAAAGCCGCAAAACGTTAACGACACTCGTTTTGAAACATCGCAAGACTCGCCATGACATTCCTCGCAGCTGCATGATATTTATCGTTAAAATAATACTAAAACTTCTTTGTTTGGTCATGACATTTGCTTGAAAGGCCGGCTAGATACCTTTTCAACATTCTCGGTATTCAAGATACATAATTCCGTTAGCCTTTGGGTTAAAATAACGAAGAAACCAAATAGCACTGGACGTCCATCTTTGTGCCTCGCGCGAAAACAGAGCAGCAACTCTGAAACCGGATGTGATGTCATAAATCGGTGGATCATAGGTACACGAAATTTCGCTAAGTCGTGGGCCCCCCCCTGTTAATTATTAATAATAATAATAATAATAATAATAATAATAATAATTTATGAACTTATTGTGCGCAGCTTAACATGAGAATGATCAGCTGCGCATTACAACTACATTATTTAAAAGAAACAAATAAAAGATAATGCATTAATTACAAACGGAACTAGCAAGACGAACGGCTTATCGCGCACAAGTTAAGCAGCTTGCATAATTATGTAAATCGGAAAAGCTTTCTCCATGCTCGAAGGGAAATCTTAAGGATTCAAATGCTTGCGCTAGTACAACGCTGTCCTGACCACTGACAACCAGCAAGGTCTGATTTCTTGAAATGCCAAAGAATTCTCTTACTGGAGATCAACGACTTTTTGCGAAATCGACAATGAGGCTCGCGCTCCATTTAATTTCTCTCTGTTTTCAGACGGAGCAAACACCGCTCATTTCCCGTTGATTTTTCCAGGAGTTACTTACACGCGAAATTGATTGACAGATAATGATCTTACTGACAGGTGATCGACAGGTTAATTTCAAGGGGGCGGAATAGCGGCCTCAAATGTTTGTCTACAGGCTCTCTCCCCCCCCCCTTTCCCTTCCCTTTCCTCGCTATTTTTTTCCCCAAACAGAGAGAACAACGTATAGGGCATTCCTTTCCCTGGTTGTTCCTCAGGCTTAAGACACTTCCACAATTGGCAAATTATCTTGCATCTCACTGAGTAATTTTCTTGTAACCCGTTCTTTCATTCATAATGTGGACAAAACTTAGGGAAAAGGAGGATCTGCTAAAATCACTAACACCAGCCTTTCCATTTTAGCGAAATTTCCTTTTATTGAATTCAATTAAACATTTTTTACTCCACTTGACAAAGTAGATGCTTAAAAAACAGCTTGAAAATAAATCATTACCACTTACAGTTAATATTTAAAAAGGCTGCGTTTTTGTAGTTCTTTTAAGGTAACAAGTAGCCTGTGTACAGCCACCCCCTCCTTCAGAAAAAAAGCGGAGAAGGGGTCGACTTTTTTTTAGTTGAGGGGGCGTCTGTACATAGGCTAGGTAACATTAAGAAGTGGCCGCCCATTTTGGGCTACTGTGTGCGATTAATGATTAATGTGAATTTTCTTTCCTAATCCAAAAATCAACGTGTTTCGTATCGTGTAATATATCAAACAGGACAAATAGGACACGCAGTGTTTCATCCGACACCAGACACCGAAGAGTAATATGTAATTTTCTTCTGTAACGAATATGGGAAAATACGACAAAAGGAAATGAAAAACGATAAAAATTAAGTTAGCGAGATACACAAAACTTCCTTTTGATTTACATCTGAAAGGCTAGTTACTACTAGCATTCATAATAGCAGCAAGTGATGAGTTGCCGGCCCGGCGTCGACTGCCATCTCGTTTCGCACTTTAGTTTAGGACTACCGAAACAATGATGACGAGCTGTGCTGTAGTCCATGCCGTGAGCACATAGTATGTGGCCGTTTGAAAGCGTTGTTTGTCTCCGCAGTCGGTTTGAAATTTCTGCGAAAGAAAAAAACCTTTTTTGGTACTGTCCCGAAATTTATGAAAATCCTAACAGTAGAAACTGCCGCCACATTGAGTGAAACATAAAAGTAATAGTTCAAAGCATTAAAAGAAAGTATGAATAACACAGCAAATATAGAAGTGGACTTGGATGGCCAAACTTGAAGAAGATTGAAAAGGAGTGAAATTGTGGGTTTTTGAAAACTTGTTAGCCTAACAAAATGGTTTTTGTTGTTTATAAGATTTATTACAATGCGCTGGGATATATATTTGATGGAAAAGAAGCTGTGATTTTGTCATTTCCAAGAAATTTCTTCGTTAACGTTCCATAGCGCATAAGGAAGTTTAATTAACTGGCAATATTAACAAAAAGAAACTACTGTAGACAACCGTGACATAGTTCCCTTAAGGGCCTGTTTACATGGAGGTGGGGGATCTCGGATAGGTGAGGTAACCCGCTTAGGTGGGGGAGCCCGAGGCACCTGTCTGTTTATATAATCTATCATATGGTCTCCCCATCGTTCATGTAAACGTGCTCAAATTAAAATGATTGTTTGGACAGGCTGGTCTCCCCTTCCTAAGCAGGTTGCCTCACCTACCTGGGGTCCCCCACCTCCATGTAAACAGGCCCAAAGAAAAAATCACTGTGTTCGCATTGATTATCACCAATTCCCCGTGAGGTGAGAAGCGCGAAAGACTGGTACGACAACGGCATGCGCGCGCATGCGTGTCCCTAGGACTAGAGCTTTAGGTTCTTCTTACCCGCTTCTTGGATGCCGATGACTGCTAAAGAGTCTTGTGACTTTTTCAATAGGTATATTGGAAAGTCAGTGCAAAATTGCTGTAGGTCGTCGCTGAGAAATGAACGCTCAGTGAGTTCCCCATTCACCATCCATGTGCTGTCAATACGCGTGCCTTTGTTGATAACTCCCTGGTGGATTGAATGATCGTTTAATAGCCCGCGCTCGATATATTAAAATTCTAACATGATCCTGAGGATTTAAGGTCAAAATTGCAATTTTTTTACGACTCCATTGTCTCGCAATTCCCAGAAGAGATTTCGGCACAAAGAAAACCGAACCAAATACAGTGAAACCTGTATTAAGCGGACACCCTCGGGGAATGCTGTAGTGTCCGCCTAACTGCAGGTTTCAATAGATAACGTCATATGAGGGGTCAAATGCTATTCAAATGAACAGTGGAAACGTTTAGAATACTCCCAGAGACTATGACGATATACGTTTGCATTAATTTCTTTATTAAAGGGGACTAATTGATGATAGTACCATAAACATAGATTGCAACTCAAATTTGAAGAACTCAGATGAGTGAAACAAGCTCTATACAAACAAAACGAAATAGAAAACAGTACTGTACTGTGAAACTAATCAAATAAGTTCGTCAAATCACGTTGTATAAACTAAAAATATTAAAATTTGTGGGTGGCAATCTTTCGCATCTTCGGTGTCTGGCATGTTGGGTGGTGGAATTTAATTACAAGTGTCCGTTTAATACAGGTTGGCAACAATAGAAATGACCATTTCAGGTACTTTTTAGGTGTCCGCGTTCGCTTAATAGAGGTGTCCGCTTAATAAAGGTTTCGTTTAAAGTAAATAAGGGAAATAAATTTGGGGACTTCGGCTACTGTCCGCTTAATACAGGTTTCACTGTATAGAAAAATGACCAGAAAGCCTCGGAGTCATGTTAGAATTTTAACTGATATCGAACGTGGGCTATTGACATCCGGCTACATGTATAGTGGAGGTCAGAAGTCTTAAGCACTAATATTAATACATGTTCAAGAGATTGTATTATGCGAATTAAGAAAATAATCACCTAAAGGAAAATGCTTTGATCTTGAAACAAATTCTCTCAGCTGATTCTTTAATACTAGATCTGGAGTATTTGTGTGTGGATACTGGGGGTTAAAGATAACTAAACAAGGTCAATCTCAAGGGACACGGTCAGCTTTGGGACCGCGCTGACCTGGACACTCGTTTGCAATTTTGAAGAGCGTTTACTTCAACCCGAAATCAAAGGTACGCCCGCGTAGGATACATCTAGAAATCCTCTTCAATCTTGCCTAGTGTTTTATTTCATCTATGATATTTTATATCATATTTTGTTAAAAACAGCATGAGTCGCGTATCTTGTAATAATATAATTCAGCTAAGAATTAGTATGTAATGTGCATATTCATCAACTGACGCCTTCTTCCAGTTAATAAAACAGTGAAAAGAACAGAGAGTAGACATGCAAGAAAATGATTTCCTTACCTGGGAGGCTTTCTCAAGATCTCCAATAAGTTTATCTGGGGTAGACAACTCTTTCGGCAGAGGCATCAGATAACAAATCCCTTTGTCCGGAATTCTCATCATGGTTAATTTCTGCAAGTAAGATTCAGAAAAACGTTTGAAAAAAAAATACATGAAAAATAATAACTGATCAAAGATAACTAATTTTTCATTACCGTTTCTACTTTACCACTTCCACATTTCCATAAATGCACCTTAATCCTGGTTTCCATATGATCGCTGCGATCGCTGAGAAAAAAAGTTCAGCGATCGCAGCGATCATAGCTATCATATGGAAACCACTTTCCAGCGATCGCAGCGACAACGATCGTTGAGATCAGAAAAAGTACTATCTCAGCGATCGTTGTCGTTGTGATCGCTACGATCGCTGGAAAGTGGTTTCCATACGATCGCTATGATCAGCGATCGCAGCGATCATAGGGTAATACCCAGGAGAAGTGAAAAACAAAGGTTATGCAAAATCTTGGGGGGGAGGGGGGGGGGGGCAATTAAGGTGGGTATATGGGAAAGGTGGAAGTGGCTCATTTGGGCCAACATTGTTGGCAGTTGTTGCGTCCGTTTGCATGTGGCTAATATATAGATTTAGCCAGGGCTAATAGCGATGCTCGCTTTAATTAATAGTTTACTCAAATAAAATATGAAATCGTGTAATGCTAAAGAAACGGTGAAGACAACGAGAACGGTAAAAAAATCAACAACAATAGGACTAATTAGCCCCCCAAAAAAACAACTTTGCACCTGCTGCACACTTTTTTGTACATTTCCTTGCCGTTGTTTTACAAGCTTTTGCACGACTACGTGTTCCTGTTAACCTTTTTTTTTTTCGCTGCCGCCCATTTTCACCGTAGTGGCCTCTAGCATTTCTCATTTTCTCACTGCCGCTATAAAATTTTCATGCTTTTCTTCCAACGAAATTGGTCTCCGTCGTTTTTTATTTCGGCTCGCTCTAGCTCTTTCTCTGTTATCCACGTTAGTCAGGTAGACAGTCATTAAAATTTAGTCGAAAGAAAGTCTCGGCGTTGTTGTTGTTTTTTCTCTCTAAAACTCTGGGTGGCCAAGCGATTTACCGCCGAAAAGCACGGGGTGCTTGAAATGCGAAATTTCACCACACCTTACATGAAAGGGGTGGACGTACCTGCATACTAGTACGTAGGGACGATTTTTTCAGAATCAAAATTTCTTGGATGCACAAGTAAGCAGAGTTTCTTACTTATGGTTCTCCGCTGCGCACGCTAGAGCTCCGCTAAAAGTTTCACCGGTTTCAAACTTGGTGCAACAGGGTGTACAAACGGACGCAACATGTAAAATCCAACAATGTTGTGAAGCTCATAATTACCTGTTTAAAGTCATGCATGACATCACTCTGATCCACGCCGGGGTGAGAAGGAACCTTAGGCACCTCTGTTTGCTTCTGTGTGTCCACTTCAATCGTTTCGTTGTACTTTTCTCCCGATTCAGTAACGCGAATATTAAAATCCACGACCTGCGTTAGACAAGCAAGAATTAAAATGTCAGTACAGTAGTTCAGGTGTATGAGGATCACGAACAGCCAGTTTAACTTGTAACACAGTTCTTTTTGCTTTTATTTGAGAATACATCTTTCAATGGTCTTTTTTTTTTAAATGCAGCAAAACCCCGCGTATATTAATTTAATGGTCATGTATTATTATATTATTATTATCATTATTATTAAGAGACCATATCCAAATTCAGAAGGTTCCTAAATAAAAGAAAAGGAGAGGGGAGGGAACAAGAAGTATAATCAAAAGCAAAGGAAGAGCTTACCTTCTTAGACTCCGATCCGTCGCTCCTGGATAAGGGATTTCCCGAGGTGGAGCTTGTTAATACAAGTAGAAAGAGCAGGAGGCAGCAACTTCTGGCCACAAATGCAATTGATTTCTTTAAAATAAAAATGTAAAAGATTATTTTTACAATCATTAAGACCTGTTGGTACGATTGATGTGTTATTGTGCAGAGCAACTTGTCAGGTTGTGAATGTTCGAGAACCAAATTCAAGACTCCCATTTGCGTTTATTGACTTTAGTAACATTTTATTTTGTGTTAAAAGTTTATTCGATCACGTTGAATATTATAAGGTGTGGGACGTTTTTCGTTTGTTGTAATAACTTGTTGCATAACCCCGAATGACCCGTTAATTCTTTGATTTTAAGTCAGTTTCTAAGTATATATATTTTTATAATACCCAAGAGAAACTGGAACATCTATTTTCTTAACCCTGTAAACCCTAAGACCAAAATTTAAATTCTCATTTGTTGCCCGTATTCATTTCCTACAGGGGTAGTGGGGAGAAGTTGATAAAATATGAATCAAATTCATCTTGTGTGATCATGTCCGTGATTCTCATAACCACACTACGTTTTACATAGCGTTGATATTATGAGGAGAATTTTTCTGATGCTGATCACTCTTAAGGCTCAGAGGGTTAAAACTGACACATGGGCGACACATTAAAAAGAGTCTGGTAGCATCGCTATCTCTCTTCAATCCTGGTATAAAATGATTTTTTTGGGTGTAGATTAGAATTTCTTTACTTATTCTAAACAGTCGCAGCAAACAGCGATTACTTACGTTAAACATAATGACTTCAGAGAAGGTTTCTCTTTCGCTTCTTTCTGAACGGTCTTCTCCTCTTTAGAGAATCTTGAGAACGTCTCCACTCTGGTTTTTTTTACCAACTGAAGTCTGCAATTTCCTTGCTCTCTTATATTTGATTTCGTTGGACCAAAGGTCACGTAGAGCAGTGAATTCCTTCATACTGTACAGAGTCAATTTTCTTCCAGACTATCATATGTCGATTAAGAAAAGTCGAGCAATCCTGAAATGCTTTATAGATCTCAAGTTTAGCGTTTGGTTTACGCTGGGCTCAGAAAACAGTGAAAACGAAACCATGTATTGTGACACTTAAACCTTTTTTCAGGTCGACTGCCGGTCAAGGTTTTTTAAACACTAGATGACCGGCAGTCCTATATTCTCAATAAATTTGACAAATCGAGAAAATTCATCTAATCTAAACTATCATATGTCGATTAGGAAAAGTCAAGCGATCCTGAAACGCTTTATGGATCTCAAGTTTAGCGTTTGGTTTACGCTAGGCTCAGAAAACGAGACCATGTTTTGTGACACTTCCAACTCTTTCCTCTTTCCTCTTTCCTCTTTCCTCTTTCCCGACTGATCTAGGAATGATCGAAGCGACTCTGCTAGCAGGGTATACTGCCGGTCATTTAGTGTTTTGACAATCTTGGTCGGCAGTCGACCTGGAAAAAAGTTCTAAGTGTCACAAAAGATGGTTTCGTTTTCTCAGCCCAGCGTAAACCAAACACTTGGTGCAGACGTGAACATGCAAGATGAGGATGGGTGTACCTCGCTACATCACAGCGTACAGGCCGGTAACGTCGCTGTTACAAAGTTTTTACTTCGCAGCGGCGCGAACCCTGATATAAGCAACGCTGACGGTGCGTTTCCCGTCGATTTAAAGGATGACTTTGACTTGATTGAAATGCTCGTTAAATGTTCGCCAGAAGAGCGAAGGAAAAGCACGGCAGCAACAAATAAGATGTAAAACAGAAGAATTTATCGTCAAATTATTATCATTTCAACGGGGTTGTGTTGTTACTTTTTTGCTGTATCCATTCGAACGAATCTTTGAACTGAAAGCGCTGTGCTTATCTTATATGTTGCTCCTAGCGAAAAATGCCCCGACCGTTTTCAAGTTAAACGAAGAGGACTCAGGAACATTACCGTTAAAGTACGCAAAAACAGCCACTATTTTGAATCAGTTTGAGTGTTATTTTATTTACACAAAAGTGTGCAAGGTTTATTATATCTGTTTGTTTTGGTTGAGAGATTTCGAAAACGCACGTGCCGGCCGTAAAGTGACTTTAATAGTAAGATTTATCTTTTGTTAAAATCTGTCTTTTGTTCATACTAATTGGACGCGCTGGTAAAACAAAGGATACGTTCCGTTGGCCTTAATTGACTTTTACTGGACCAAACAAAACCCTTTCCAGAAAAACGAAGTCTCGCCTGGAACATACTGTTTTTATTACTCTCCTACGTTTTCAAGATCTTAGTATTTGAGTTGGCTTGCGTTTTAGTGACAGATTCCTTGTCCATCGAGATCTCCTGATCAAATCATTTAGTTATACTTCATTAAGTGTAGTTGCTTAACAATTGTTTGAGACTGGTTGTCAAGTGAACTCTTTTGTTGGATAATCCGTGTAATTATATTTGTACGCTAATTAGTTTTATTGCAAAACTCGTAAACAACTTTGAGTTAATATATTGAAAAGGGGGGACAAATTAGTATTGTTAATTATTCCTACAAGAAGACTTTAAACGACAACTTGTGTAATGTACAAAAGTTGATTAGTTGTACTTTTTG